TCCACCCAACCTCCCTCCCATCCTCTCCCCAACACCACCTCTCCTGGAGTGGAAAGTCCCCCCCCCCCCAATTCCTAAGACTCAAGGTCACCGGAGGAGAAAGTCTTCCCCAAGAGGTGGACTTTGATCATTTATATTGGAGGGTTTGGCAACTTTGTTGTTATTTATAACCACTCCCTGTGCAACTACATCTATAACCAACAAAATCCAAGTCCTATTTCAACTGGAAAAAACCAACAGGGTCCAGATGTGACTGACTTTTTGTTTGTTTGTTTGGGTTGTGATGTTTTGCATATAAATCAAATAGAGTTTGCCGGAAAAGTCATCCCCTGAGCACACAGTCTGCTTTTGGATATTGCCAAATAGGAGAGAGATGGTAATATATCTAGAGAGAAGAGTGTCCATACCCTAGAAATGAGAACTCAGACTGAACAAGTCAAAGTAAGATAACTTGGAATTCTTCCTCCCATCACATGCACCTTCTGCTCACCTGAGGTTTCCAGAGGTTGCTACATATTTCTGATGGGAGCCAGGATCCCTAAGTGACAGGTGTAGATATTCTTGCCCTGCCCCTTGAATAGGCAATGAGGAGTTAATTGCAGCTCTGTTTCAATCAACAGGACACCAGGATCATGGCTTCTTCAGTTGCAAGAAAGTGAGAAGTTGTGCTAGGGCTTATGCACTCTGAGAGAATGTACACCTCTTCAGAGGTCCCATCCTGAGCCAGTGAGGCCAGAGAAAGTGTGTGTGGGGAACCTGTATTAACCCAGTCAAGGACCTTCCCCTGAGAGCTTCCGCTTGCTCCAAGCCATTACTATGACCCTGATAGCAATGTCTAGAAGGGAGAGTAAGGGATTGACCTCACTGCAACTGTTCACCCTGAGATCCACTCCGCACTTTGTCCTTGCTTTACTCTGTTTTGGGTGTGTGGGGGAGCATGGGGGGGACAGGGTGGGTGATATGGAGAAAGGAGTCAACACAGCACACCTGAGACTACTCTCCCCAGAAAGTCTTTTTTTAAACTGCTAGCCCTTGGTTGGCATCTGGGACCTTGGACTTCAGGAGTCCCACTGTTCCTTGACTGATGAGGATGGCTCTCTGTGCCCACGCTTTTTGGACACAGAACACGGTTTATGCTGAGCACCTGCTTTCCTTCTGTGAGTCTGGAGTTTGGTACATGCTCAGCAGAGTACCTGTGTGACCAGCCTCCAACAACAACCCTGGGCACTGGGTCTCTAATGAGCTTCTCTAGTAGACAACATTTTACATGTGTTGTCACATTCGTAGCTGGGGGATGTAACCATGTGTCTGACTCCACTGGGAGGGGACTCTTGGAAGTTTGCTCCTGGCTTTCTTTGGACTTCACTCCATGAGCCTTTTCCTTTGCTGATTTTGATTTTCATCTTTTCACCACAATAAATCACAGCTGTGAGGATGACAGCCTGGTGAATCATCAAACCTGGGGGTGATCTTGGGAAGTCCTCTCCACCCCAGTGTGGTGGTGCCAGCTTTGTGGACTGTGTTGCCCAGACTCCTTTATCAACTGATTTTCATTAAATTGAGCAAATGAGAGACACTGGAGGGAAAGTAGAAAGGGAAGAAGAGAAGAGCCAGAGTCATTCTTCCCTCCCTCCTGACCTCAGACAGACAGGGTTTCTGGTGATGACCCTAACCCTTGTGCTGGGATGACACCACTCCTCTGCTGTTGCTAACTGCTGAGTTAATTGACTCGATTTCCCTCTTTGGCTTCTGGTCTCTTCTGGCACCCATGTAACCAAACCCCTGTGTTCAATTCCTTCTTTTAAAAATATCCAAGGTGTTTTTTTGGTCCCCCCCCCAAGCTAGACCCCACAGGCAACATTCCTTAAATACCTATAGTGTGCCACCTCCATGCCAGGCAAGAAACATTCAGAAACAAAGGACACCACAGAGTTCAGAGTCTGTTCATCCAGCTGCTTCTACCATAGTCACATTTGGTGGGGGGGAGGGCATAGTTCAAGGTTCATGGTATGGCCAGAAAACTTTGTTCTGACTTCTAAGCCCCCGTGCTATGAGAAAAGGCTCTGTAATATCAGTAACAGAGATGTGACTGACTTTTTTTTTTATAATATCTGTAACATCTTAACATCTCTGTGCTTGGTGTCCTCAGACACTCTGCTATTGACACTAGTTTTAGGCACAAGGAAAGCCACTGTTTTGTTAATTCTTCTGGGTCAGTGGTTTGGGGAAGTTAGAAAGCTAAATAATACATGTGCGTAGTCACACAATAATGAGTGAGTCTCAGGTCCAAAGTGGCGCTGAGGTGGCAGTTGTGAGGGTGACAGACGTGTCCTGAATGCATAGCACAGTCAGGAATCCCAGGGGGTCTGGCAGCTGTGCCACCTAATCTGAAGGGAGCCAAGCTGCCTGGCTCTTCTCCAGACCCACATAGGCAAAGGGGTCTCTAGGAATCCTGGACACTCAGGCTTGATTTTTGCCAGAAGAACTACCAGAGTAGGCTCGTCCTTCTTTAGCACTCAACAAAGAGCATGGAAAGGATGGGCTTTGAGTAATCGAATGGTCAGCAGACTATCCCTGGGGAACTCCAGCTAGGGTCTCTACTCTCATGCAGTTTAGTGGGAGTACAGACAAGGAGACAGAGAGTGGCTGCTTTGTATGAGAAGCACCAGGCCACCTCCTGCAGGACACGTGTGCAGTTTGGGCTGAGATTTGGAGAGTAAATAAGAAATAGTCCAGTGGTGAGAAGAGGCAAGAGGAGTGGAGTGTGTTTCTGGCCATGGTACAAGTGGTACAAGCAGGGAAATCACTGGGGCTGGAGCATACCACAAGGGGCTGCGGGGGGTGCGTGGGCAGGAGGTGAGTAGAGTGGGCGTCCATTGCAGAAGGCAAGAGACAGTGAAAGAGAAGGGGATGGAGGACAAAGTAGGACCGACATTGCAAAGACCCAGTGAACCAAAGTTTGGAATTTATCCTACGAGCAAATGGAAGTGGTGATAGAAGAGCTTGTGCAAAGAATTTGATATCACATTTAAGCCCCTCAAAGCTCTTTCTCACTGCAGTGTGGAGAATGGACTGGAGGAGTCAAGATCGGAAGCGGTAGGTGGTTCTGGAGATTTTGACAACTGGAGATTTGACAGGATGATGCGGGAGTCTGAACCTCCACTGTGGGAGTGGGAGTGAATGGGTAGATTCGAGAGCTATTTAAGAGGAAGAATAGAAAGTATTTGTTGAGGGACTGGATTTGGGGGTTGAGGGGAGGAAAGGAAGGAAGTGCCGAGAACAACACCACATGTCTGGCTTGGCAACAGAAAGTAGGGTGGTGGCATTCACTGAGATAGGGAACTTTTGAGATGGACCAGGTTTTCAGGGGAAATTACATATCTCGTTTTAGACATGATGAGTGTGAGTTATCACTGGGACATGCCAAGATGGTTGGGAGGCACTTCCATTGGGGATTCTGAGGTTCTAGAAAAGATCATGGCTAAAGACCTAGATTTGGGACATGTCAGGATACAGATGGGAAATAAGAATGATGGGAATGCCCCATTTATCCAAGGGGGTGCATGCAGCACTAGAGGAGTGTAATGCCCCAGAATCCAGGGGAACAGACCTTCAAGGTAAGAGTGCCCAAGTTTAATGTCTCCTAACGTTAAGTAAATTAGAACAGAATCCTTTCCTTTGGATTTAGCACAGGTCATTGGTGACCTTGAGCTAGTTTCAACAGAACGATGGAGCACATGTCAGATGGCAGAAGATTGCAATGAAGAGGAGAGAGGGGAACAATAGCTGGGGGCATGTGAGCCCAGGGAAGGTTTGAGCAAGTACTGAAGAGACTTGCTTGAAGTTGTGTCAATGTTGGTGGGGAGCAGCTGCTCAAGTGGGAGCTTTAAGATAGAGGAAAAAGAAAGGATATGCAGTATGACAAGACCCTGAAGAACAAGGTGACATAGACCACAGGCAAAAAGGCAGGGCCCCGTGCACTTGGCCATGGGCAAAGGGGTGACTGGAACCATTTTCCACTTTAGTAAGAGGAAGAGGGAAATATAAGCATTTGCAAACAAGTTCATAGATGGGTAGCAGAAAATTTAGAGAATTCCTAATCAGTGGTCTTTTTTTCCCCCCCTCTTTCTATGAAATTAGATCAAGGGGCAAGGTCAGAAATTTGAAGACAGTAAAAAGGGTTAAAAATAGCCCTGTCTGAAAATAAGAGTCTTTAGAGAGACAAAGAATCAGAAAAAAACATATACACAGAAGAAAAATTTTCTATTTCTCCAGTAATCTGAAGATAAACCAAAATGGTTTTCAGGGGAAAAAAAGTGTTATTTTCTAATTTTTGTGACACTTAAAGTTATTTACTCATCTTCCCCAGGGCTGGGCCTCCTCCTGTGGGAAGTGCTGCAGTAAGGTGGTGGCCGAGGCTCCCATGGATGCTTCAAGAACACAGACCATCCCCCCTCAGCCTTGTTGACACAAGAAGGACACCTTCCTCTTGCTTTATGCATGGTCACTGCTGTCTGTGACCTGTCTGCCAGAGGGCAGACCCACCCTTCATCCAAGCAGCCAACCTCAGAATCCCCAGCAGGGACACTGCCCTGTGGAGGAAGACCCTTCCAGCACCCCCTGAGGAAAGAGAGGAGGCAGGGTGTGAGGAGCCTCTGCTGAGGGGCTGCAGAGCTGGAGTGGGGATGGTGAGGAGAAGCAGGGATAGGAACTCCGAAGTAAGGGGGGCGTGGGTCAGAGGAGGGGCTCATGCCAGAATAACTCCGGATGGCAGAAATAAGTAGAAAGTCCTAGAAGCTGCTCTGTTTGCTCCAGCTGTCAAGAAGGGGGAGGAGAAAACCCTGTGGGACGGGAGGGGAGGGTGGAATGTGGGGGCTGTTAGGAAGTTATTTAAGAGCCAACTTTCTTGTCGTTTTTCCTGAGTCCTTTTGAGGAAGTACCTCTGAGCTGCACAGAGCCAGCCTGCCTTAGGGCACCTCAGGCGGGGACCGCAGGTAAGCAGCCGCCCCTCCCGCCCTGCCTCACAGCAAACCTGCACCCAGGAGCCAAGGGGCCCGGCTGCGCCTGCCTTCCTGCCCTGGAGTTTTCCTGCGATCCCTCAGGCGTCTGCTGCGCCGGGTATAGGGGAAAGGGGTAAGAGGCACCCTCACTGAGTTTCCTGGCCCCCATCTCCGTGCCTACCCAGCCCCACTTCCGTCCAAGCAGGGACTTCTCAGGCACTCCTTCAAGATTTCCTGAAGGCTCTGCTTGCAGGAAGGCCACCAGATGGGAATGAGGGACTTGGGAGGGCTCCCCCAAGGGAGATCCCTTCTCCTCAGTGGAGAAAACTGTGGAGGGATGAGACAGACGGTTAGAGAGAGAGAGAGACGGGGGGGGGGGGGGGGGGGGGGGGGGAGGGGGGGGGGGGCGCAGGTAAGAACACCTACTTGTCTTGGCTCTGCATCCCCTTGCATCCCCTTTCCCCTTCCAATGCAAGAGCTGAACTTGAGCACTTACCCCCCCAAGACCCGTGGAGAGGAGGGTGCTTCTGCCCATCTGCACTCAACCTGCATAGGCTCCTCTTACCTGGCAAGCACCTGGGGCTCCCCAACTCTCTGCTTTCTGGGTTCTCTCTCCCAACAGGCTACTGCACTGCTCTACTCTGTTCTCCCCCAAACCCTCCCCTCCCTTAGTGATCCTAAGCCCACCTGGGGGTTATTTTCCTCCAGAGGATGGCTTTCTCTTACCTTCCATCATTAACTCTTCCTTCCATCATTAACCCTTTCTCCCTGTCCCCTCAGCTCACTAGAGACTTTGGAAATATGTCTGTAGGTATTTATGGAAACCAATTCAGACTTTATGCTTGCAAATATTGCTGTCTGCTTCCCAGACCCAATACCCTACCTGGAAAGTGGTTCTCTTGTCTCCAGCTGTGTTGCCTTTGCTCAACATGTTTCTGGAACAGTCTACTCTGGTTGCCTTTATAGTGGAGGCTCTTCATCTTTTGAGGGTGTGCTTGGTTTTTGAAAAGAGCCAAATAACCAAGAGTCATGACTGGGTGATCCACGTGATCAAGGTGAAAGCTCCATTTGGGCCAGAAACAAGGGCTCCCTTTATTTGGTCAGTTTGTCAACAAGTGCTGATTGGGGCCTAACAGTGAGGTATGTGGTGTTTAAGCTGGCTTCTTGCCTGTGCAAACTCCAGAGGAAGGGGAAGCAGGCTTGGAGCAAAGGCAGTGTTAGCACCACTGACCAAGTACATTTAGAGAAAGGCTATTAATAGCCTTAATTCAAAATCGCAATGTACCCTCTTTACCCACCCAGACTCCACCTGTCTTCTCCTGCTCTGTGTGGTCCTGGCTCCAAAGCACTTGCCACCTTGTTATACCCTTTTCTGTTTATTTCTGCAAGTGTGGCCTCCACCCTAACCCTCAGTGGACTGGAAGCTCTAGGTCAACAATCTTCTGTTTTGTTCTCTGATGTATTCCAAGTGCCCAGATCACAGCCTGGCACATAGTAGGCTCTCCCTAAACATTGGTCGAATGAAGTTGTAAAAATGAACACTTACCTGGACATGGTTGGATAACTTTATTCTTAGAAGTGACTTAGGCCTTCTTAAGTCTATATGAAATGGACATATGTATGGGCATATGACAATAAATGTTTCTTACAAAAATACTGCCTTTAGGGGTAATGGAGGGGGGGAACCCTGCTTTCTAAAATCTTTTACATTTTTCCTTTCTTCAGATAAGCCCCTTTTCTTCTGTTTTCCATGTGTTTTGACAAACAAGAAATCTCCCGAGATCCTTGGGGAACTATACTCCATCATTAGACTAATCCTTACTGCCACTTCTCAAGTTTTATTTATGTGAAACTCAAAATGTGCTATCCCACACAGATATGTCTGCTTCTCTATTTTTGAATCCTTGTCTCAAATGTAACTTGTCTCCCATTCCTTTTCTGTGTCTCCCTTTCTCTCCCATAAGGAGCTTGTGAAACTGAGAATGTCTGAGACCTCGGAGCCTGCATTTGGAGGCAGGAGAGCCCTGCCCCGCAATGCGTCCAATGCGGCAGAGGATGATCTCCCCACTGTGGAACTGCAGGGGCTGGTGCCCCGAGGTGTCAATTTGCAAGGTACAGGGTCGGCCACCTGCTCCTCCCTGCAGGTGCTGGTTGGGTCAGCACCCTTTGTCTCCACTACGCTCCCACAAAAGCGGCTCCCCTGCCAGTGTCTGGTATTAAAGACTCCCAAGCCTTCTTTTCAGTGGTAAAAGGCCCCAAGATCCAGATTCTTGTCCCAGTTCTGCCACTTAATAGCTTTGTGATCCCAGGGAAGTCACTTTGTCTTTCTATCTCTTAGCTATTTCCTCTAGAAAACAAGGGCATTGGCTCAGTGGATGCCTCTTCCAGCGCTACTGTTCTGTTTTTAAAAATATTCTCTAGCTGGAAGTTTCCACTTCCAAAATATTGTGGCTGTTTTGATTGTCTGGCTTGTGCCTCTTTCCCTCTCCCTCCTCCCTTCTCTCTCCTTTGCTGTGAATTTCAGAGTTGGCAAAAGATGCCAGACTCTGACAGTAATGGAGATGGAAGCCCTCTACATCTCTCCAGAACAGCCTGGTGAGCAGGTGAGACAAGCTGCTTCCCCTGCTCTCGCCTCCACTGATCCCAAGGGACCTGCTCTGGGAGGAGCAGCCTGCAGCTGACCTCCACTCAGCCCTGTCAATTGTGACAGAGCCCAGGTGCCAGCAGTGGCTTGGTGACACAGACGCCATTCCCCTAGGCCACAGCAGGGACATTCAGACTCATGTCCCCGAATGGCATCTCACATGGACCACTTTTTGTCGGTAGGACTCATGCAGCAAGCCCACTTCTGCTCCTGAGGGTACTCTGCACTTGGCTTCCCCGGGAGGTGGATATCCACTTGCTTGGGGCAGATGCCCAGGATCACCCTGTGGTACATGGTTAATCCCCTTCCTCAGAAAGAGATCAGCAGTTGAAAGCAAAGGGAAAGAACAATGCAAGAGCAAATCAGAGAACTGCCTGCACCTTGCAGACAGGTTTGATTGTGTTACTATCATGTCTAGACAATTTGCTGTCCAACTGTGAAAACAGAGATATCGAGTACCACACAGTAAGGTACCATGCAGATTTGGAGGGGGGAGCTCACCAAAGGGCTTCTTCAGTTGAATGGAAGGGTTGGGACAGACCTGTGAACTTGTAGTTCTGAGCTCTCTCTCCCAGTGGGGCGCTGCATTCCCTACAACTCCACCATTAGAGCCACAAAACTGAGTTAAAAAGGACTTGCTAATCAACTCATCTAAATCCCCGTGTTATAAGGTGGGGAAACTGAGGTCAAAGTAAGTAGCTGATGTTCACTCCTTCATTGCCCAATCTTGGGTTTATTCTTTCCTTTTCTTTTCTTTTTTTTTTCTGTTCTTTTCTCTTCTTTTCCTTTCTTTTCTTTTCTTTCTCTAAGACAGCAAATAAATTGGAAAGCATGCAGACATCAAACTATCAAGCAATTATGAGCAAATTATTATACCTTGGTGTATTCAGTTTTTTAGCAAAATCCCCCTCCCCCCAAGAGACAAGTCTCTTGGCCCTGTGGAATGGGGGCCAGGGTGCTGGAAGATGTGGGCAGAAAGAACAGAAAGAGAAAGGGGCAAAGGATCAGTGAGGAGAAGTATGAACAGAGGCAGTGAGATGTAGCAATGAGCCTCTTGGTTCAGGACTCAGAAGAACTAGGTTCTGGTTCCTCATTTGTCACTTACTCACTTTGCCACCCAGGGAGCCTCAGTTTTTCCATCAAGAAAATGGAAGTAATACCTACTTCACAGTTGCCATGATGATCAAAAGACTAGTGTCTATGAGACACTTGGTCTATGGTAGTTAACCAACAAGTACTCATTGATTCAGAATGTGCAAGATATCATACCCTACAAGGTTAGGAGCCCACCCCAGTGAACACTTATTTCTAAGGGGAACATTAACAGCCTGCAGGAGCTGTATATCTGAAATCTGGAAAAAATGTGGTTAATAAGAAATCAGAACTAACAGATAATTTGAGTAGGTAGGATGATTTTGTAAAAATCTGGGATTACTGTGTTCTGTGTATTTATTTTTGGAGGCACGGGTAGGGAATTATTTTGAAAAATCATTCATCATTTGCTTGGCAATCATATGTGTCCACAGCCCAAGTGACATTCTGGGGTACCTATTACAGGCTTTGGCAGATGAATGTGAGTGTCCAATGACTATTTGTAGAATGAGTGAACAGTTAATCACTTGAGAATTGAGTGACTCATCAGGCCTAGAGTCATTATAATCTTACTAATAGCAGGCTCCAGGTTTTAAAAACATGCCTTTATTTAATCTGTCTCCCACAGGTGAGCTAAGTACTACACACTGAGGATAGGATCTCTGAACCCAGGTATCATGGGGGAACTCCTAGATGAGTAGAACAGAAGAAAAATACCAGTATACAAACCATGTGATCAAGAACTGTCTCCTACTTATTCTTTACATTTCACGTTTCTCTGTAATAGTGCCAAAAGCAGGTTTCCTGACACAAAATACATCAGTTTCTCCCAAGTCATCCCCTGTGAAGGCTGTCACGTGTGATTAGCTGCTGTCTTCTTGCAGTTTATGCAGTGACCCCTAGGGGCGACCAAGAGGGCTTGAAGCTCCCTGAGCTCCTGGCTGAGGACAGCTTTGGCTCACAAAGTCCTAAGTCAAACTCTCCTCATTTGTTTCAATGGAAACCTTTTCCAAAAGTTTCAGCAAGATGCTCTTGCCAAACTGACTGAGAAGGCAGGAAGAAAAGAGGAGAAAAAGGATAAATGGAGGATTTTTCATTTAAAATAGTTCTGTGGCAGTAGAGATATATAGATAGATGATAGATAGATACAAAGTACACACTGAGTGTGAATGATACCCTTAATTCAGAGCTTTTGTGAATATTTGGTTAAGAATGACTTTAGCATGCATTTCAAAATGTATAAACTCACATTAGGTACTTCCCATACAGCAGCATGATATTTAAAAAAAAAAAAAAAAGGAATATTTGAGGTGACAGTGAGACCCCAGAGATGGGACAAGCCAGTCAGTGCCAATGTTTGATGTCCTCATGTGTTTTAGGGTACTTAATGCCCCCTTCTGAACTCAGTTGTAGCCAATTAAAGTATGTGAAAATCTCCTCAGAATGCTGGATTTGCATCTCTTCCTAAAAGACTCTTCTGAATGTTTAGTGGTTGTTTCTGGAAATTTCTCTACAGCTTTCCTGGTCTCAAAGGCTATTTTGCAGGAGATGTAATGTTCTGGAAGATAGCCTTATATTCTTGTTCTGGTTTGACTCTGTGTTATTAACCGTAGGTGATCCTTTGCAGTAGTAATTATAATCCTTATTTGGCAGATCTATTGTGATGAATTCAAACTGGAAAGCAAGTCTGGATCTCTAAAAAAGTCAAATACAGGAGAGATCTAGAATCTTTCAGGCTAATGGGGTCTGGTGCCTTTCTGAGCATTCCTTCACCTTCCTACCCCACCCCTGTCAGAACCAAAGCAATTAATCAACTAGTTAATTATCACTCTCCCTTAACTGCAGAGTAAACCCATCTGGATTGAGGGGTCTTAAAAGAATTAGAAAGGCATTTAATGTATGATGAAGAAATGATGTTGTATAGAACCAATTCATTCTCTGGTTCGGTTTGTGTAAAAGCATTTAATGATTGCCACCTATGTGTCAGGAAGTACGCTAAGTTCTCTCTGAGGACACAGAGATGAGTAAGCCAATTCCTGGCCTCAAGTGGCTCTCCATCTACTGGATGAAATAGACACAGAAATTAAAATTTCAATTCAGTGGAACAGATACTGTTACATAAATTATGCCAGTTGCAGTGAAAGAACAGAGAAAGGAATGATATGGTATGGGAACAGTGGGAAAGAGGGTGAGGAAGGCTTTATGATGAAAGGCTATCTGAGTTGGGTCCTAGAGGATGAATAGGAGTCTTCCAGGCAGACAAGTGCATGGGAACAGCATTTCTAGCAGAGGGAAGTGTGCATACCAAGTAATGGGGACAAGAGGAGGATGAACCTGGGAAAAGTAGGCAGGGATCTGTTACAGTAGGTACACTGAGACCTTACCTCTTCTCCTGCAGATAAAGGAGGACTTGCAAAGGATTCTAAATAGCAAAATGATATAATCAGAATTATGTTTCATGAAGGTAATTCCAATGGTAAGGAGCAAATGGAGAGAAGGAAATACATTTGGAGGCAGTTCAGATACTTCTGGTGAGAGGAGAAGTAGACAAGGCATAATTCTATCCCTGGAGAAGATCCTGGTCTCACTTCTTATTCTAGATTCCTCTGAGCAGCTGAGCATTTCTTATATATTTTATGGTACAGGACATTTCAATAGCAACAGTTAAAAAACAATAAGCTGCTTAAGAAATTAATTTTAATCATTCTAATTAATGATACTTTAAAATTCGGGGTATCTAAAAGAAATATGAAAGAGGAAATTTTATCCTCTTGTCTCAACAATAAACAAACCTAATTCCTCATGGACAGTATTTATGCCTACAGTTTGGTAATGATATTACCAAAGATTGCAAGGAGATTTCAATTCACTAGGGAACTTCTAGGATATGAACCTAAACATTTAACTTATTTCAAGATCCCATCGATGACAGGTATAATCATTCTCAGAAGTATATTTTTACAACCTAAGGAGAAAATAATCTACTTTTCATATTAGGGAAAGGGTAGGAGGACAGGGAGGCAGCTGGCTCATGAGGAGAGATTTTTTTTTTTTTAACAGTCCATTTTCTGGTGTGTTTGGAATTAGGCTAAACTGTGTTAGGTAGACTTTTTGAAAGCTGTCACTTTGAAAGAGCAAGCTGCCAACTTTCCAGCTACAATATCTCTAAAGTAAAAAAAAAAAAAAAAAAAAGTAGCTTAGCAATGAGTGGCTCCATTTTGCCAGGAACTAGGCTTGGACAGGGAGAAGCAAATTCATTTCCTGTTTGTGTCAAATGGAGCCTGGATGATGAGAAGGCTCTTTCAAACTAAACTATGTCTCATTAATCCAATAAAAAAAAAAAAGCAGAAATCAATATACAAGCTTAATAAATGTT